AATATTTATTCCAAGTTAGTTATTTTATGCCATTTCCCCCTCATACAGACCTGTGATAGCCACATCTTTTAAATCTGTAAATAATGTTATCAAAATAATCTTAATCTTTGAAATCTCACAAAAATTTATATTTTACAATCCACCCTGAATATCAAGGCTGCAAGAATAACACATTTCCTATATCCAAATATTTTACAGCTGTACCCAATAAGGAAGGAAAAAAAAAAAAAGAGAGAAAAATAAGAGAAAACCACCTTTGCTTGGTTAAGGTCTAAAGTTACCCGAGCAGCCAAAAATAAAATAAAATATCCAAATTATTAGCATTAATTTAATACAATTATAACTTCAATAGTCACTTTGTCATTGACAATGATTGCTTGAGCACAGGGGTGAGTGCCCCAGGGGCTGGTAGTAGAAGCTGCTGCTGCTGCAGACCAGTATCTCCTCTCTGCACTGCCAGCTTCCACCTGTGCGTTGCCCCATATGCACTGTGTGTGTGCACATGTGTGTATGTATATTTGTGAATATATATACACACATGCACACACACATCTATATATATATTTTAAAGTCTTTCTCACCACACAAACTTCTTTCTATAAAGCAGAAAACAGGGAACAACAACAAAACAAAGCTAAACAAGTCAATTGCTTTCTCTTTGGGATCTGATTATTTCCCTTGTGCATGAAGTATTAACAGCAACAGAAGAAAAGGAAAAGAACAATTTCTTTTGTATACTCCCTAAAAACACAAGTGGAGCTTACAGGTCAGATTTAACTGAGCATTTCTATGCCTATTTCCAGGCATCATCATCTGATGTTTCACTGCTACTAGTTTCTGTGTCGGAGTCTTCAAAGTCTGTTTTATAAGAGCTTCTCCAAGCCGATAACAGGCTGAAATTGCGACTCTGTAAAAAGCCATTCTTCCCAAAGCCATTTCTTCTTAGCTGTGAAAGGGAACAAGGGAGAGAAAGAGGAAAAAACTCTTTTATAAATATCAGTTATTGTTTACCATCGAGCTGGAACTGACCCTTAGCTGACCCTCCGGTGGGTTTTCAGAGGCAGTAAACTGCATAGGAGGAGACTGCTCATGGAGCAGCTAGTGGATTTGAACTGTATGCCCTTAGGTTATTACAGCTGGTTACTAGGCCATCACAGTGCCCTATAACAGTCCTTATGACCTGGGAAAGGTCAGGTCTAGGAATACAGCACAGGACCCGATCTTTATATGACATTATAACATGGCTTTTGAAACTTTACCATACAACATGTTATCTCATCATCTCTTTAAATTCCTTTCAGTATGTCTAGGGTGAGGTCTGAGCATTGCCATTCGCCCTGGAACATACGCCTAAGTAGCAAGGTGGCCGGCCTGTCAGTCAGCATTTCCTTTCCTTTTTAAAAAATACTGAAGAAAAAAAATTTCCCCTATTCTTGCATTTTCTTGTCTCCTATGCCAGCCCTTTTTGCAATGCACTCCCTTGTTCCAAACTGCTGTCATAGATATAGGGCCTAATCATATACCTCTTACAGAGAATTCTTCCCCTCATCTGATCTAATGTAGTGGTTATCATCCAGACTTTTCCTATTCTCTCCCAACCCGCCCCATGACTGTCTTGATTTTGTAACAGCAGTGCTATGCGGTATTTATCCTTTTGTGACTGCAATATTTCACTCATCATGTCCTCTAGGCTCTGCCATATTGTTTAATGTTTTAGGAGTTCACGGTTTGTCAATGCTGTGTAATATTCTAGTGTGTGAATGCACCAAAGTTTTCCTATCTATTCAATTGTTGATGGGCTTTCTATTTAAACTTTTATTATTATTATTATTTATGTGTGTACTGTGGATCTGACTGGTACAGGAGGCGATTATTCCTCCTTCTTCAGCAGAGCATCTAGTGGATTTGAACAGCACACCTCTGGGATTGCAGTGCAGCTTCTTGCCACTAGGCCACCAGAGCTCACCTCTATTTA